AGGTCTTAGTGATGGTCCTTGTGCTGTCATCAGCATGCACGCTAGGGTGCCGGCCTACAACCGGCGTGTTACGGTTGCCGCGGCGTACCACCGGCGTGTGCGGGCCCCACGGTACACAACCGGTATGGCACGCGGCCGCCACGACATGCAAAGGGCGTGGTACGGTGGGCCCAGCATTGAGCTGCTTTGTCGTGCTGGGAAGTCCGTGCATTGGAGGATCAGGCATTGGGCAAGGTTCAGACGCTCCCGGGCGTAACTGCCAGTGGGGTCTGAAGTCTAGACCTGTCTGGATTTCAGCAACTTACGGAAAATAAGGCATTTTCTTGTCTTGACCATGCAAAGCAATGCGAGCCCAGATTTGATTCCAGTAAAGTGATGCTTGCTTAACCTGACTCTGATGATGATGATGATTTGGGGGTTTAAGGGCGCATCCGCTGCTGTAGGTCATGCAGCGCCCATAACTATCAGTTTATGCAGAGCCGCGAATCAGCCAAGTGCATCAATCAAGTCACTTTAAAGGACTTAGATGATCAGGCCTAGTATCATGACGAAAAGTTTACTGGGAAATCTATAGCGCGAAGAAACTGGAGCACTTTACCAAACTCAACAGCGGGTGAAGAATCCCCTGAAAAGTCACATAGCGTGCGACTCTGGACGTGGCGTCCGAAAAACTGCGCTCCGTTGCAGTAAGGTGACGGCAAGCGACCAATACGTGATGCACGGTCAGCGGGTCAGAGTACCGACTGCAGCATGGTTTGTCGCCAGCCAATAGTAGGTGACGGTGCGTAGCATGCGTGTGGCCTATGCGCAACCGGCAAAGAGCAACTTCTTCCTTCCGATTGTCCCGAAAACACGAATGCCATAGTCCAATACGGGGTTTCATGGACTGCAGCTTTTTGGTGCTCAGCGAGTTCCAGTGGAACTGCCATCGCTTCTGCGTAAACAACGACACTGCGGGGTTCCTGTCTTGAGCTGGTAGTGGTGTTATAGGAATTCTAGTCCCTGTCGTAGCGCGCTTTGCTGCCGCGTCAGCAAGATCATTTCCGCATATCCCCACGTGACTTAGGATCCAGCATAGTACGATCGTTTTCCTGCTCGATCCAGTGAGCTAAGACGCAATTGAATGTCCTGGACCAATGGATTCGACGAGGAAAAGCCGCCAACAGCCAGGAGACTGCTCAAGGAGTCGGAAAGAATCAAATGCAGATTGCTATCGTCCACTTCAATAAAACAGAGAGCTTTGCTGATGGCTATAAGCTCGGAAGTGTAGACCGACGCGTGTGAAGGCAGTGTGAATGACCGTGTTGTGGATCCGCACACAAAAGTGCACCCTACACCTGCATCCGTTTTCGAACCATCCGTATAAGTCATCACGTATGCGTCAGAGGAGACTATTTGCTCTAAGGCTGCGACTGACACTTCGGTCATGAGAACGCGTTGCTTTTGCATGTTTGATAACGAAACATCCACTCTTGGCGATGCTAGCTCCCAAGGAGCAGTCTTCATGGGTTTAGGTCTGATGACACGACGTAGGTTGAGGCCGCTCGCGTCTAAAAGTTCTCTCATTCGTACACAAAAGGGAGAAGTTTTTGGTGACTGCTGACGTAGGACAAGCCTTCGTAAGCTACGCGAAAACACTGCTTTGTAGGTGGGATGATCTGGGAACTGCGCCAGCTTGCACGTGTAGCGCAGTCCCAGCATCTGCCTTCGCAATGCTAGTGGGGGCTCGTGAGCCCCCACCAGCAGACTATCTATGGGCGATGTCCGAAAAGCCCCTGTGGCGATACGGAGTGCGGCGTAATGCACCGTGTTCAGAGTACGTTTGATCAGGTCTGATGAACCGTCATAGATAAAACAGCGGCGGTCAAGTTTTGAACGAATTAGGGAACGATATAGGAGTAAGAGTGTCCTATCAGTGCCGTATGATGTACGTCCCACGCACCTTAGGATGTTAAGAGCTTTTAAACATTTGTCGCGGAGATTTCTTATGTGCTCACGGTATGTTAGGCGTCGGTCAAATCTTATACTGAGAAATTTCGCAGTATTGTCATTGGCGACGCGTTGCCCATACAGCCTGACTTCCATATCAGGACAGTGACGGCGACGACGACAGAAATGAACTACAGTTGTCTTCGATGTAGAAAACCGGAGACCGCTGAGCACACTCCACTTCTCCAGACGTGTGACAGCCAGCGTCAGCTGTCGCTCTATCGTGCGAGTGGTCGATGAGATATACCAAATAACAAAGTCGTCTACGAACAGAGAACGGCTGATCCCATGTGGAAGCGTGTCCCCTATGTCGTTTATCATCACTGCGAAAAGAATGACACTTAATACGCTGCACTGAGGCACATCATTGTCCTGTGGGTACCTGTCGGATTGATAAGAACCAACACGCACCCGAAAGAATCTGTCAGTCAAAAATGTTTTGTAAAAACTTTCCCTTGTGACCGCGGAAGCCACAATCGAGTAACTTCATCATAATTCCATGCCTCCACGTGGTATCATAAGCTTTTTCTATTTAAAAAAAGATGGCGCCGGTATGGCGTTTGCTAATAAACCCGGCCGCACTGCGGTATCAAGAGTTAAGATGTGGTCAGTCGTGCTCCGGTTCTTACGGAATCCGCACTGAGCATTCGTAAAAAAGTTTTGACGTTCTTAAGTCCACGAGAGCCGCACATTTTCCATGAGCTTACAAAGCGAGGATGGAAGGGCGATCGGGCGGTAGTCAAGGGCGTTTGTTTCACTTTTCCCGGGCTTTAAAATAGGCACTACTATGGCCTCTCGCCAGGTTGGCGGGAAGCTGCCTGACTTGCATATACGGTTCAAAAGGGCCAACAGCGCTCGTAGTATGCGGGGAGGAAAATGCTGTATCATGTCATCGTGGATGAGGTCGGGCCCCTCCACAACACTACGCGGTGAGCGAATGGCCGCTTGAAGTTCCATGATAGTGAAATGCTTGTTGTATGGTGGGATGTCATCTGCATGAAAATTAACTTGCGAAGTTTCACATGTCGTAAAAACTAACCGTGTGTCGTAAAAACCGTGGATCGCAGGTGCCATTTCGGCAACGCTCTGACAAGGCTTCCCCAATGGCTTCCGCGACATCACTTGGGTGAGTGATGTCTCGATTTCCCACTCGCAGTACGGGAAGTGAGATTGGTGGGTGCAATCCAGCGATTCTTTAAATGCGGCCCCATACATGTGATGTGTCGGCGTGTGGCGATTCAGTGAATTGACGTAGCTGCGCCATGATGCACGTTTCGCCTCTCGTATAGTGCGGCGTGCGGCCGCGCGTGCTTGCCTGAAAGCCAAAAGGTTTAAAGTGTTGCTGTGCCGGTCAAAAGCCCTAAAAGCTCTCCGACGTGCGCGAATAGCGTCGCGACACTCGTCGCTCCACCAAGGTACAGGGATGCGACGAGGGCATCCGGAATGTATTCGCTTGCCGCGTCCAGAACACGAGACGTAAATTCCTCCGCGGTCGGCGTCGCAGAGTCGGAATCGTTAGAAAATACTTCTTCTAGGCGGGTACCAAATCCGCTCCAGTCCACCTTCTTCAAGTTCCAGTGCTGAGTTCGCGTACCAAGAACAGTACCATCACGGTACCGAACCCAGACCGGAAAATGGTCACTTCCAAGGGGGTCCTCTGAAGCATCCCAGGTGAAGTGTGGTACCAACTGCGGACTACAAATGCTCAGGTCTAGCACTGACGATCGTCCTGATGACAATGTAAAATGCGTTCTCGCTCCTGTATTTAAAACATACAAACCTTCGTCACGCACGAAAGCCTCACATAGGCTACCGCGAGTGTTCGTGCAAGCACACCCCCACACAGTATGATGTGTATTAAAATCGCCTAAAACGGACAGAGGGGGAGGTAGTTGAGAGACTGACTCTCGTAGTCCTCCAGATGAAAATGAAACAGCAGGTGGTAAGTAGAGAGAGCGGACAGTTATGGTGCGGCGGTTGAAATTCATCGATGCTGCGACAGCTTGCAAGTCCGTTCTTAACACCAGGCGCCGTGTAGGTACGCTTTGGTGTACAGCCAACAGAACGCCACCGTAAGCAACGGTGTCTGTTGGCATGTCAGTGCGGAATGTAGTGTACCCTTTCAGGCTGAAGGCCGCGTCAGGCGCCAACTTGGACTCTTGGAGACACGCGGCTACCAGGAAGTGCGCACTTAAAATTGTCTGCAAGTCCTGGGTGCTTGACCTTACATCTCTACAGTTCCACTGTAAGGCCGACTAAATGAGGGGACTTTAAAAGCACTGCTATGTTTTAAAAGAACTCAGCAGCGCTAGAGCCCGGCCGATGGCTGCTGGTCCTGTCTTCAGCACCGTTTCCCAAAGAGACCGGGCGGATCCCGGGGCGCATTCGGGGACTACCGCCATCCGTTGGCGAAATCGGCCCCGGCGGACCACACTTTTCCGGGCGCCCCGTCCTAAACGGGGCCGGCGCCGGCGACGTCGTGGTCCTAGGTGGCGGTGGTGGCGGAGGACCCATAGGCGGGCCTCTGCGCGGATCGGAGGGGCCTGCGGGAGCCTCCACACGCTTTCGGGGCGACGGGAGGGCCTCCCCCGTTGAAGCGGTCACCTGGTCCGCTCCAGACAGCCGGTTGGCTGCCTTGGCACGCTCCTGGTCAGCCAGGCGTGCCCGCTTTGCCTCACGGGCGCGCCTGTCTGCCTCGTGACGCTCAAGCGTGTCTGCCGCTCGCGAGCTCGCGCTCGCCAAGGTTGCACTAGTCGTCGGGCTGGCAGACAGGAGGGCAGCCGACAGCGCCTGGTTACCCCGGTCACGCCGAACCACCGTCCAACCACCGTCGCCTGCCACCGATGGCGAAACCCTTGTGGGGGGCGAGGAGGTTAGCAGCACGGTCTCCTTCGACCGCTCCAGCGAGGAAGGGGGATCCAGGGCTGCCAGATTGGAGTCCAGCGCCTGGTTCGTTGACACAACCGAGAGACCAAAGGACTTCAAGGGCGCTACAAACTGAACAGCGGTCATTTGATCGTTGGGGGGTCGGACGTGTGGTGGAGATCTTAGCTTTTTTCGGCGTATGATGTTCGAGGGTGGCTCTCCTCGTACAGTGTTTTGGCCTCGTGAAAGAGATGTTGCGAGTGGTCTTAATCGAGATAATTCCTTTTTCCTTCACGTACGCTGGGCACGTGCGGTCGTAAGTCGTGTGCGGAGCCTGGTCTTTGCTACAGTTCACACAGCACGCTGTCTCTGAATCGCAAAATTCCGTTGTGTGCTCGGGAAGAAGCGCCATTTCCCACAGGCAGACTTGTTGCGGTAGTACTGTTTGGTATGGCCAAATCGCTGGCAGTGGAAGCATCGCATGGGGTTCGGAATGAAAAGGCGCGCATTGACACATGCGTATCCAACGCGTATTTCAGAAGGCAGATCCGGGCGATTGAAAGTCAAGATGCTGTTATTTGTCGGCAGTTGTCCACTTCCTTTTCTAGTGGAGATCCTACGTGCAGCAGTGACGCCAACACAGACAACTCGTCGCGATCTTTTTCTTCACGAACGTCCAGCATGTCAAGTAGTTGATTATTCTCCCTGGATGCATTTTTTTTTTTGTACAGGTGTGGTGTCACTCGGACAGGTACAGAAACGTCTCGTTTGCCATCCTTGTCCCCGAACGCCGGTACGTGAATTCGGCTGACAGCCATCGCACGATCAGCCTCTGCCCCGCTAAGCAAACTATACTCTAACCCTCCATCACGCAAGTTGTCGCACCGAACCACATTTCCAAATCGATCACACCCTGTTATTCCGCTCCAAACGGCGAGAGAGACGAGGTCTCGTCTTGTCACTTGGAAAACCAAAATTCGGGGAGATGGCGAAGATTCCCCGCTGCTTCCTGTTATGAACGTGGTCCTTCCCCTTTCGGGGGTCGAATGGTTTTTTTTGGTTATAATATGCCATGCAAGTTTCAGTGAAGTTCGGCACCGGGGCTCCCCCACCCACCACGGAGCCCAACTGGTGGACGGCCCAACACTCCCTCGGGAGGTGGTTACCGCCAGGGCCACGCCGGTGCTATACGGGGCGAACGACGCCTCCCACACGGCCAGGGGTAAACCGGGGAGACCCCTCCCCGTCCTGACCGTGGTTCAGCGCCGCCGCCCCTTGACCCCGTAAACCGCTGCGCACGGCCAGGCGACCCAAGCGGAGGACCCGCACGGAAGCACCCAGTCGCAGCGTGAGCGACAAGCCGCTAGGCCCGTGTGGGGCCACCACGGACCTCCCGCTGTCCCCGGATATCCTGGTTGAAGTGGAGTGTTGGGACGAGCCGCGACTGACCCGCACGACGCGCCCCTCAGCTACCAGGATCCGATCAACCCGGGGACGCGGGCGAGGGGGCACGGCAAACCCCGATAAAACTAGGATTAGGAGTGATGAGTGGGTCAGATGCGGGAAAAGCGGGTAGGTGTGGGGAGGGGAGCGGCGAGACAAGGAGCGGGAGCTCACGTACCGGCAGGGTCGCTACGCCCTGAGAGGGAGCAGCTTGCGCTGTTCACCCCGTTACCGGAGCTGGGACCCCGGTGCCCCTGCGGGGTTGACCTGGCTCTACGTATCATGCTGGAGGTGGGGCTATGGGCTTCGTGGGACTCGTCTCAAAATGACCTTGGGATGATAATGTCACGCGTGAGCCCACATACTACAGTTCCATATGCATTGACAGATATCCCACATCCGATTTGTATTGCTTACCATTCATCCGGTGGGTGACAGCACCATTCATCCCTAGGCACCCCCGTAGTACCATCAGCACTGGTTCAATATTAAAGATGGTGATGAGAAGACTATCATAATGCCGTAGACTTGAAATTTGAATATCCCCGCTAAATCAAATTCGTACTACGTAAAGCATTGTAATTACTTTTCATTGTAGGTATATTATGGTATTGCCATGACGTCACTTACTTGCATGAGCGGCGGGCGCAAGGCAAGTGTAACTATTCTTTGATACAATCACGGTGAGATGTTACGAAGTGTGGGACCAGGTGCCAATATTTACCTATTAACCCGTGCAGCGCTGTATAACTTTGCATTGCTTTGTAGTGATCAGGAATGGAAGGTCAGTTGTATCGCTGGTCCCGATCTGGTCAAGCTCCCGGTCCGGTGGCCAAACAGTCTCAAATGATGGGCAGATTCAGTGAGGAATGTCATAAATGATATCCGCCCAGTGCATATCAAGCGTAGGCTTAAACAGGCTCATTAAACATTAAAGCTTTTTGCTCTTAAAATGTTTAACTGTTCTTTTTGTAGAGATGTGCGTATGAGGATTCAAAAACAGGTGCTTGCTCCACGTAAGTGGGGTGAGAGAGTCATGTCCATTCCAACCCTTCCATAATTTCAGGAATACACATGCATGTATTATTATATGTTGGGTCCTTCATATGCAACATTATATTTTCCCATGTTTTCATCCCCTGGTAACACATGTGCTTGGACTAGAACCTCTGCATTTTTTCCATGTTTTCCTCCCTGTGGTAACAATTGTGTTTGGAGAAGAACCTCCCTCACCCTGATTATTCTGTAATATCAAGAAGGTATTTTGACGATTTGTAACAGTGAACACATTGTGCAGTCCAAAATCTTCCTTCCCTTTGTTATATTTTGGTGATGTGTCATGGAAGTCCCTCCTCTCCATGCATGTTTATTTTATGTATGGCCATGCTATTGGTTTCAGATACATTTGAGGCAATCAATTAAATAGAAAGTATTGGTATTGTGCAGATGAAAGCGTTGTAATGTGTGATGTCCCGTTAAACTGACACACATTTGGACTGTGACTGTGTAGACTAGCATACATTATTTGGTGTCATTAGGCTTTTTTAAAAGCCATGGTGCAGATCAGATTTCATCACATAGTGAAGGTGTGTTGCAAATGGAAAGTTGATATGGAATGTTTTCTCTTTGCTACCATTTGATGAAGACAGTACACATGTTGCACTTTGTCCAGTGACATCATTATATGGTTCCAGCTTAATCTTCAGCGCAGGACTAGACTCGTGGAAGCACAATGTATGAGAAAGTCTTGTCTGCAAAACCAGATGGATCATCAGTATTATTTATTGGTGAGTTGGATCTTCAAGGCCAAGTTAATTTTGTGGGTTGGCTGGTGCTTTATTTGTGGGCTGTGATATGTACTTGGTGCTGATACCTGGCAGTTTGCTGTTTTGTTTAGCAAGATGGTCATGGTGATTAGTAAGCAGTATGAGGAAAGGCATAATGATATTGCAGCATGGAGTTAGAAACATTCATTAATGACACTATGATGCATGTCTCCATGCCTCAGGATTGCATTACAGTTTTTACACTATTTATTCTTTTGATGCTGTAGCTCTCATGTCTGGTACAAGATAAGGTCCATCTCTGTGTGTTGGGAGGAGAGAGAGGGGCATCATGGTCATTTGGGAATTAAAATATTTTATGTGGTCATTAACCCAAAGCATGCTTCACTTTATTTTTTGTGAGGTGCTTTGCACAACATTTTGTTGTAGTGACAGACCACACCCTACATCAGCCATTCACACAGTCAAAGCTATTTTTCCCTCAAGTATTGTATCACGTGATGTGAAACTGTGGTCATCTGTCGTGACTCATTAATTAAATTCCACCACATTCAGTGTGACATGGTCAAAGTTAAACTTTACCACTCTCAAAAAGTTTCTTCACATACCATACCTCACACCATGCCTAGGGGAGTGGTTCATGTATGAGCACAGAACAGACAGTTCAGACATAGATTCCACCAGCCTGTGCTGCTGCCCACAGATGTGGGAGCCAGCTGCTCGCACCAGCTGCTGCTGGGGTACGTGCTGTACCGGCTGCAGCAGCAGGTGGCCGTGACGTTCGTGCCGAGCGGCGAGCGGCCGGAGCAGCTGCCTGGCCAGCCACTGCTCAGCTGCCGGCCGCTAGATGAACAGCCAGGCTGCTGGCGGTCGGCTGCCCAGCTGGCCGCCCAGTTGGAGGCAGCTGTGCCTGCCGCTGGCCTGCCTGCACAGCTGATGGTGCTGGAGGATGCCTCGTGTCTGGCGCATTGGCTTGGTGTTGGCCGACTCTGCCGACTGGTGCAGCGGGTCATGGCCATAGGTGAGCTGGGATGGTGTGGCAAGTTATGGGTAGAGGTCAGCATGAGGGTGGAGCTGGTCATGGCCGGAGATGAGCTGGAGCCGTGCAGCAGGTCACAGCTGGGGGTGACCATGGGTGGTGCTACAGGTCACAGCCAGAGGTGGGCTGGGATGGTGGAGTAGGTCATGGTTAGAGGTGAGCTGGGGTGGTGCAGTGGGTCACAGCCAGAGGTGAGCTGGGGTGGTGCAGTGGGTCATGGTTAGGCCTAGTTGGGGTGGTGCAGCAGGTCATAGCCAGAGCTGGCTGGGGTGGTGCAGTGGATCACAGCGAGGGGTGAGGTGGTGTGGTGCAGCGGGCCACAGCCAGAGGTGAGCTGGGATCTGACCCAGCCAGTGGTCTTTGAAGGACGAGTGAGCACTGCCATATGTTAAGTGTTATTTATCGGGTTGACAGCGAGCACAAAGCAGTATTTTTGTCATCTTTTCGTTCCTTGTAGTTCATTTGGGCTAATGCTAACAGACATAACTAAAACCTCACCCACCGACTTGTTAAACTGCTCGCCCCCAACATTTCGCGATCATGTGCCGTTCCCCCTCGGACCGCCAGATGGCGCTGACCACGCGCTGTTCCCGCCCCAGGCCACCAGATGGTGCTGGCGGTGGGTGAGAACGCCATCGGTGAGGAGTGGCTGGCCCAGCTGCGCCACTACGCCAGTCACGTGGTGGCGGTGGAGGGCACGGGACGCGAGGTGGCCATCAGCGTCACCTGCCGCTCCAGGACCGGCAAGGTCGATACGGCTGTACGTACAGTGGGCGCAGAGCGGCGCGCGCGCGGCATAGATCGCCAGGCCGCTGCCACGTCAGCCACAAACGTGGGATGAGGTGTTTTGGGAACTGTTTGCATGGGGAATGCACGTGACAGAAATGGCTTTACAAACAGATGGGCGTTATTAGTGCGTTTGATATGTTCCATCCCCTAATGTCAATCAATCATTCAATCTATGTATTGCTGAGGTAAAAACATGTCGAAAGTTGTGAGAATGCATTCAAAGATCAAATGCTTTGTATCTGTGATGACTTCATGAACGTGCTAGACTGTTCTTGCGGTCAGTTTCTTGCGGCCCAGTGTCCGTCATTGTTTCACTGGCTTCCCGTGATCGGATGAGAAGGAGCGGGTGTGTCTGGACACCAAGCTGCAGGTGGTCTTTCCCCCTATCACTTGTCGTGACGGCCCCCCCCCCCCCCTCCCCGTGTCTCCGTTAGAAGGAGCGGGTGGTCCTGGACACCGGGCTGCAGGTTATCTGTACCCCTGTCACTGGTCCTGACCTCCCCGTGTCCCCGTCAGGAGGAGCGGGTGGTCCTGGACACCGGGCTGCAGGTGACCCGCGTGGAGCCGCGGCGGCCCCAACTCGCCCCTGTGCAGCGTCCGGGTCCCGATCCGGCCGCCCAGCTGACCACCGGCCTCACCACCTTCAGCCTGCAGCTGTCGGAGCAGGAGCGCCAGGCGCGCAGCCGGCTCGTGCTGCCCTACCTCAGGTAAGGCCCGGCTCTTGCTGCCCTATACCAGATACCTCCTGGTTCAAGCTGCCCTGGATCAGATAAGGCCAGGCTGGTGGTGCCCTACCTCAGGTAAGGTCCGGCTCGTGCTGCCCTATCGCAGGTCAGGCCCGGCTCGTGCTGCCCTATCTCAGATAAAGCCCGGCTCTTGCTGCCCTATACCAGATACGGCCCGTTTCGAGCTGCCCTGGCTCAGATAAGGCCCGGCTCGTGCTGCCCTATCTCAGATAAGGCCAGGCTGGTGCTGCCCCAGCTCAGATAAGGCCCGGCTCGTGCCGCCTCACCTCAGGTGAGTCTCCAGTGCGGCACTGCTCCGCTGGCAGATGCCCTGCCGCGCCGCAAGGCCGTTCGGCGTCGCCCCGGACGGGGCGTAATTAATGGATACTTTCCACAGACATGCCTTCAGCATTACTGACGGCCCCCGCAAACGCGGTGCGGCCCAGGCTCGTGACGTAGATCGACGCCACTGTCCGCCACCCGGCCGCATCTCGGCCTTTTCCGACCGGCCGTTGCTGAGGTCCTGCATGCGTAGCACACGCACGTTCGCAGGTAGATCAGGGCGTGGTTTCATCAAACCAAACTACGAAACTGCGCATTTGTTAATCACCACGTGCGAGTGAATGGACCGGAAAAGGCAAACAATGTGGGTCGTAAATCATCCTCCGAAAGGCCTTGCAAGTACAAATCCAAGCTGTTTATGGAGCGCTTGTTCATGCGTGGGGAATCAGAAGTGCGCTGGTTGGTGGCTTCCTTTGAAACCAGGCCCTGTGTCGCCGTAGCTATTCGTGTTTGATGTGCCGGGCAAGCTGAGCAAAGACAACGTGCGCGTAAGCTGATAAGGTTCAGCATCCACTCTTGTTTTGATAGTGGTGGAATCATTTTTCGGCCATTAAGGGACGTTATATTAATCGAGACTAATATTTGGATACGTATGTCAGAGAGCGTCATGTTTTGCAAATTCAGATTGTATAGTTTTACCAGCTGTTCTCCCTCAATGCTTCAATATGCCTCTAGTTTTGGCTTTATATGGGTCCTATTGCAGGTTCGTACCTTATGTGGTCGCTGCATTACACCAGTACGTTAAATCATGGCTTATGGCGTCATCAGCCGAACAAAAAGTGGCATAAGGGGCATGTCCTTTGTCCTGCGCCTGCCGAGCAGCCTGTGCAAAACGGCCTTTTGGAATTAAAATATTTTGGGCAGTTAAAATTAAAAACCTTGAGTTAGCCCAATCCCTTAAATGCTTCTTTGGCGTTGTTGTATTCAGTAAACTTTGAAACACTTGCGTGGTTGTGAAGAGTTGGTTTCAATCAATGACAGTTGTAATTGCACCGGCAGTCATGTTTCACTATGACAAGTTGTATTTCATGTGTATGCTATGGGCGTCGCTCATTTCTAACCTTTTGTTGCTTGTTAATCCGCCATGGAAAACGAGAATGCCCCGTTGGTGGCTATTTCTTGACTTAGTGGAGCGGCCCAACATTTTCCACGCATTTTGGGGATCACGGTCTGTTAGTTGCGTCGTTGTTGCCTTTACAACAGGACGGCACTGCTCTCAACGTACATTTGTAGCGCGGAGTCTGGCTGTTGTGGCTTCCGTATCAATCTGACTGCCGTGGTTTCCGTGGCAGTCTGGCTGCTGTGGCTTCCGTGGCAGTCTGGCTGCCGTTGCTTCCGTGGCAGTCTGGCTCGAGGTCGCACTGGAGTCGTCCAACGTTCTGCCCGCAGGCCGGAGCAGGGTCGGGAGGAGGCCGGGTCGGGAGGTCAGATCTTCTACCAGCCGGACGCCGCCGACGACTGGGACGAGGAGGATCCCGACGACGATCTGGACGTGTGACCTGACCTGGCACGATCCCGGGCCTGGGATGACCCCGGCCAGGTCGGGAGGAGCTGTTAAAGATCTTTGCCACCTCCAGTCCGAAAGATCAGCCGAATGTGAACTAGGCCTGGCCTGGAAGGTGACCGGGGTCTGACCCCGGCAGACACGACCCGCGGCGTGACCCCGGCAGCGCCTGAGCCTGTGTGACCGCTGTGGGTCTGTCAGCGGATCTCCGTCTGCGTCCGGCTCCGAAGGACCGGACCCGGGCGACGCATCTGTCGAGGAAACCGTGCCGTGCCTTCCCGTGCAGGGGAGAATGGCGTGTGTAAACTGACTGATTAATGAAGTCCGCAGAGACGCACAGCCGGGCCGATCAATGTCGGAGCGGCTCCGAAGACTGGTCTTGACGGGTCCGAAGACCGGTCGATAAGTTGTTGTCTGACTTCAAAGATGATAAATTTGTTTTGCAATTACTGTGCGAGTGTTAAGAACATCAACCACTGCGACCCTGGGTCTCTGTCAACGCGCCTCTCTGAGGTCTCCGACGAAACCCACGCACTGCGCGCTCAAATATTGTATTGTTATTAGTATATACATTTTGTTACACACATAATTGTCGCTATAATCAACAACGCTATGTCAATCGAGCACAGGCGCGTCCAGCCAATAAATATATTCTAGACTCGAGCGGGGCCGCGAGGCGCCGCCCCGGCGGGCTGGCCGCCCCGGCGGCGGGCGGGCCCGTCCCGCGCTCGGCCCCCACGTTTGTTCGATGCGACCCGTCGCCGCGGCGTCGGTCGTACTAGTCTCGCAGGTTTTGATTTCTCGGCGGATTCATCGTGGTGGGGCGGGCGGGCCGGCGACTAGCGGACCTCGGCGCGAGCGAGCGGGCGCGCGCTGCCGCCCGGTGAGCGAAGGAATGCGACTCGCGACCAAAGTCAACAACACTGGATCACTTCTCGACTGGGCAAAATAGTCTGTCTCGCTATGTACAGCGGCGCGCGGACTCGCTTATTGCCGGGCGTCGACGGGCCGCCGGCGCCGCTATCACAAGCACTCTTTGGCCGGCGGGTGCGGCGGGCGCGCGCGCCCGGGAGTCGCCGCCTCACCGCGCCAGCCGGTCCATGGCGGCGCGCAGGCGCTGTTCTCCCATGCTCGGCACCAGCTTGACCATCAGCTGCTGCACGAACTGGTCGCTGATGCCGGGCGCGCTGCGCTCGGCCAGCTCGAAGGCGTTGCGCAGCTCGTCGATGGCGTCAGTGCGTTGCGCCAGCGAGGACGAGTCGCGCGCCCGGTAGCTGTTCCGGTGTCGCCGCTGGAGCTGCCGGCACGGTCGCAGTCGGTCACGCACCGGCCGCCGCTATCACACACAGTCATGCACAACGGGCGTCAAGAATGCCCCCGGTCCAGAGGGAGCGCATGCCGTTACTCCAGGTGCTGACTTCGGCCTAGACGCGGCCAAGTAATGAAAGCCGTCGGGTCAACAACGCCGCTTCCATTGGCATCATCAATCCCCGTGTGGAAACTGAGCCCCTGCAAGTCGCCTGCACTGGGAAACAAAGCCCGACCTGTGGCGCAGTACTTGCACCCCCAACCCCTCGCTTCGCCGGCCGCCTGCGGGTGTACCGACCTCGGACATGAGCGGGTGGATGACACCGCTGAGCGTGCGGCTCCGGTTCGGGTGCTGGCTGGTGGGACTGACGACCTTGCTCGGACTGCCCGACGAGCGGCGTCTGTTGCCGGCCGCCGGCGTCGCCGGCTCGGCCGGGCTCTCCGCCACCGACCGGCGGTGCTCGGTCGGCGGCGGCGGCGCCGACGTGGTAGGCCGCGTCTGTCCGACATGGGTGGCGCGTCAGCGCGGCGTCGCAGCCCGACACGGGCCATGCCGCCGACACAACGGCGGGCGACAGCGGCGGACAGCACGGCGACGACACCCGACAACGCAGGCAGGTCGCGACGACCGCTCTGACCGACCACAACAGATCACACGACCGCGTCGTCCGCCACCTGCGACATCTCATCACGTCCCGAACTCAACACGGGTCAACCGGTGTGCAACCGGCTGCCAGCTCTACCCCGCACGTGGTCTGCGGCGCCCCGCCGCGCCGGAGCCGGCCGCGCCTCGGGTGACCCCCGGTCGATGCCCCGGCGGCGCCACTGACCGGACTGCGCGGCGGCGGCGTCTCCTTCTCCGGAGACCGCGGCGTCGGTGTCGTCAGCGGCGAGACGTCCGGCAGCGCCGAGCCGTTCTGCAGCTGCGGAGGGGACGGACCGCGCGGGTTAGGGGCTGGACGGGACGCTGCAGGCCGGAGGGGGAGGGGGTGAGGGGGGACACAACGCAGCTAGATCCACCCGGGACGGCGACACAACCCAGCGAGATCTACAGGAAAACGGTACGCACACCGCCACGCACGGGTCACGGGCCTGGCTCTGCGGGCGAACGCAGCTGCCCGGCGGCCTGACATACCACGGTATCTGACAGCTCCAAGTGATGGCCCGGCACCCCGTCACTGACCTGCGTGATGACCTGGGGCGGTATCCGGTTGTTGTGGTTCATGCTGTCGATGTCGCGGTCGGCCTTGCCGCCGTTGTCGACGTTGTCCAGCTCGGTCTGGCGGCGGCCCGACGACGGGCCGCGGATGGTCGGCACCCACGGCTCGTCCAGGTCGGAGTCGTTCCGCGACCCCTCCCTGCGGGCGATCGGCGCCGGCCGGCGTCAGCACGGCCGGTGACTCCAGCGCAGCGGAGGGCGTCCCACAGGCGACCCCGTCGCGACTGAGGACATCACGTCGACTATCCCGCCCTATCCGGTACGCATGGTACCGCGCTCATTGCACCCCGAATAAGAAATCATCCAGTCATCGACATGGGCCACAAGTGACACGCTTGGTCGCTGCACGACCGGCGGGTTTGGACCGCCTCGCGCGGCGGCCCCATAAGAGGCGACAGCCGTCACACGGCGCGCTCTCCTGCAGCCGCGCCGTCGCGGCACTGTGCCGCCCTCTGGCGGGCTGCGGATCGAGACGGGTCAGGCTGCAGGGGGCGGGCGGGCCGCGGCACCGAACCACGAGAGGGTCGGCCCGGCGCGCCGCCGGTCGGCTGCCGGCCACGTCCGTCACACACACCGAGTGAGTCCCAGCGTACGTCACGTATCCGCGCATCGCCAGAACATGAGCCAACCACGCCTCTTAACGGGCCCCACGTCCAGTTCATTAGTCATGACTCAACGACGATGGTTTGCATGTTCCACTGTGCAAACAGTCGGACAGAAATGGGCCAAGGGGTGGCGAACGTGTCCGCTTTGATTGCACGTAAGTAGCAGAGTGTTAGCTTAGCTCCAGACGAATAGGAATACAAACGAGTGCTGAAGTTCCGAGTGTTCCGGCCCCTTGCGCACTTCATGCCTGCCCCATCAATTGCATAATCTACGAAGATCATTAAAAGCTGGTGAGAATTTCGCACACTAAAAGAACATTGCAGCGCGATCTTCCCAGAATCATTCAATCCTTTGCAGTGCAAGAACATTGCGTAACCAGCCAATGCAAATATAACTTAAAAGCCTATTTCGTACCAGATAATTCAAGATTAATGGCCATAATGTGCTCTAAACCGTTCAATTCGTCACACGTCGCAGGTAGCCACGTTCAGATATCGATTACATTAATTAAAGCAAGCCATCAGCGGCAATCGATGGCAGGATAAAACTGACAGAGCCGCTGAATTGCTCGAGCGAATAACGAGCATTTCACTGGAAAAGCTTATGAAAATGTTCGTCTCAGAATGTAAACGCGGTTACGTTGTTAATCAGGCTTGGCGAGCGATAATGGTGATTTAAAAGATCACTTAGATCATCCATCGCTGTCTAATTGTGTCGACGTCAACAAATCACTGTCATTTTGGCTGTTCAGATCAGTGACATTTTCCCAGTGTGTGCCGATGCGGCGCGGTGCTCGAGAGCCACGATACTTAACATTAGATTGGCGATTAAAAGGAATTTAAACCACGACGCCAGAATCACGTGACCGAAGCATACACATGTCCTGTTGCTGGGCGCAGAACACGCAATTAGACAAACAAACCACAAGTGACGTGATTACGTCATTACGTAATGCAAGGGGCTCGTTCATCCAACGTGCCGGAAATATGCCCATACAACTTCTCCGAATCGGTTTGAAATAGGGCGCCTAACCAATGACCTAGCAACCGGTTGAGGCCAAGCGTAGGAATGCGGTTATCTCCACCGCGGGCGGTTACACCCATTCACGACATCGGCGAACCCTCGTCGCCTGTAGGTTGAAGTCCCGCGCAGCTTTATCCTTCCTGCACAGACTACAACGTGGCCCAATATCGGCCGGATGCATCGGGTTGCTCCATAACCAGCGCAGCCACTTATGACGCGAGAGTCACGCGCGCGCCCACACAGCCACCCGCCCCACCGCGTGTAGCGCTGGTCGCGCGTTGCGGCGATGAGAGCGTGCGGTACTGAGTCCCTTGCTACTCACGAGTCGGTCTCCTCGCTGCTGTCCGAGTCGTCCTGCTTGGTCATCTTGTACTTCTTGTGCCGGTCAATCAAGTCGATCAGGTACGAAGTCTTCTTGGCCTTCCGGATGAACGGCAGCCGCAACAGCTCCTTGGCTGTCGGCCTCTGCGGACACGGGACGGGCGTGACGGCTGGGCGCGGCCTTCGCTGCGCCGGGGCGGTTTCCACGGAGCTGGTAACGGCCATCGCGCTTCAGTCGCCCTCAAAAGCGAAAGTTGCGTTGGCTAATGCTCACGCACGCGCACGCCTCAATCCCCGCTGTGGCGCTGACGCCGCGAGAAGGCAGAGAATGCCGAAACGCGCAACGTTCCACCACGCTTGTCGGCGAGGTCACGGCGTCGGACAAAAGAATGCCTCGTGGACCAATACGGCAGCTGTTGCATAACGTTCCACCGCGCCAAGACCGGCCCGACTGCCGAGCAGGTCGGATCCGGAGCAAATCCGCCCTGTGCCGCGACCAGGCCCACGCCTCTAAACTCGTCCGGGACGGCGGCGCGGCTCATGCGGTGCAGACAGCTCCATAAGGATCGCCACAGGGCGCCCGCCCCGTCATCACGGAAAGACCGGCCGGGGAGGGGGGGGGGGGGGGCGGGGAGCGGATCAGCCACATGAGCGCCCCACCGCACCACCCAAGACGCGGCGAGAGCCGCCAGCTCCCGCCGTCCCGCACACCTGGGCGTAACGTGGTACCGAACACGGCTCCCGATCCCACGAGACGCGCTCCAATCCGGCATCGGCTGTGTCGTGACCAAAACGGGTCCCTCGACCACGCTGAAGTCTATCGTGGGTGTATTAGTATGGAGTATTGTAACTTTACATGATGCGAGCGGCGTTGGTCATGCGCTCGCTCCCCTTTTGGAATTGATTATCATGCTATCGGTCTACGTTCCATGGCATCACGTCACTTATCTGCCATCACTCGCGGGCACGCTCCTACTGGCGACTACAAGCGAGCCCCGAGCATAAACCACTGTCGTATATCGGGCGATAGTCCAGGGCTACTGCAAGGCGCCAAGCAGTGGTCACTCCACCAGTTATGGACGTCCAAAAGTTCACCGGCCGTGCCCTGACAGTTCACCGGCCGTGCCCTGACCGTTCTTCAGCCCCAGGTCCCGGGGGAAATCGCACAAGTGCGGGCGCCGGCCCCTGCGAGGCCTTACAAGGCGGCGCGCGGCCTCCCGCGTGGGCGCGCGCCGGCCGCCCCCAGACCGGCACACAGCCTGCCTGGCCGGCCGGCCACGCGCGGCTGGGACAGCCCGCCCGGCCTCCAGCCGCCGGTCCGGAGCACGAGCCGGCCCTCGCCAGGCTGGCCGGCCACGCGCAGCCGGGGCACAGTCCGCCCGGCCTCCAGCCGCCGGTCCGGAGCGTCGGCCGCCGTCCGGACGGCGTCGGCAGGCGGCGGCCGCCGCCGCCCTCGCGCCCGACCCACTCACGTTCTCCGGGTCCTTGTTGAGGCAGGCCTCCACGAACTCCTTGAACTGGCGCGTGTAGGGCCCCTGCAGCTGCGGTGGGCTGTTCTTGGGGATGAGGAAGAGCACGCGCATCGGGTGGAGGTCCGAATTGGGCGGTTCGCCCTTGGCCAGCTCGATGGCCGTGATGCCCAGGGACCAGATGTCCGCCTGCGGGCACGCGCCAGCGGCCGGGTGAGACGCCGCCACGGCCAGCGTACACACGCGCAGAAGACGGCCGGCCGGCTGACAGTCCGCTCAATCCCGCAGAAGCGAGCTGTCGACGAAAAACAACGAACGCAAGAGGCACACGCACGCACACGTCATTCATGTCTTTATCAGGCAGGCTCGAGTCAGGGCACATTGTGGTGGGGTCGCATTCCCATCATCTGGCGCATATAAAAACGCACGCACAGCTCATCCTCTGGAAGGGCCATACGACCCACGAACAATACGCACATGAACAAACACTGTCAGCGCGCCAATGCCTGTGGAGACGACGCAGATATGTCGACCACGGCGTCGGCGTCGTCTCCCGGCTACGCCGGCCTGGGCGCCGCTGGGACCTAAACACTGGACCCCGTTCCAGGAAGGGCCGCGTGGCTGGCAGCGCCCCGGAGCGACGGCCGTGGGGCCGGCTGCAAGGCGTCGCCGTGGCGACGCCACCAGAGCGCCTCCGGCCCAGTAATCAATTGCAGTCCGTCGCCGGCTGGCGACGCACCGGTTAGAGCCGGTCCTGTCCGGTCCGGACAGCAGTCCAGCGGTCTCGGCACGCCGGCGGAGTTCTGGGGAGGCCCCGCCCCTCACCGCCTCCGACCAAAACTCCGCCCCGGCACCCATCCAGCACGGCGGAGCGGGGGGGGGGGGGGGGGACACATGCCGGATGGTGTAGTTACCTGCCGGCCCCCAGACGCCGAACACTACACAGACCGCGGATCAAACGCGCAGCACGACGTTCAGCAGCCGCCGACCCGCGTACACCAGCACAACGTCATCACCTGCCACCGTCTCTTCACACAGACGACGCAGCGCCAATCCCCACTGATACACACCCACCCGGGCCCTGTCGCTGCCGCTCCGTCAGCTGCACACCTCAGCACAGCGTCGGTCCGGCCGCGCCGCCTCGGCAGCTGACGGGGCCGGGCCGGCGCCGGCCGGCACAACCCTCACCTTGGAGTCGTAGGCCGATTGTTTGATGACCTCCGGCGCCATCCAGAAGGGCGTGCCGACGAACGTCTGCCGCTTGCTAGTGGTGTTGGTCAGCTGGCCAGCCACGCCGAAGTCGGCCAGCTTGACGTCGCCCAGCTCCGACAGCAGCACGTTCGCCGCTGCGGGGGGGGGGGGCGGGGGCGTCAGACGGATCGTCACACGGACCGTCACTCGGACAAACCGGACGACACAGGCGGGGCAGGGGGCAAGCTCCGACGGAATAGCGGGGAGAGACAGGACTGGACACGATACGGCAGGAAGAGGCAGCTGGGCGCAGTGCAGAGCAGGACGGCACAGACCAGGGCGGGTCAGGCAAGACAGAACACGTCGCCGAAGTGCTCGCAGTAGACCGCGGCAATTAAGGCCAAATGAGATTAAGGGCTTGGGAGTCACGACAACGGCGCCAACACACTGATCCAATTGCTCCAGGGATGCAAATCAAGACACGAGTTCAAAGAGCTGTAATCTCGCGAGGCAATTCGCGAGGTGATAGCAAAACGGTGTCACGGAACAAAGTACTAGAAACTTGCGAAGAAGCACTGACAGAGTTCCACGGAGGCGTCAACATGACGAGCAAACGTGACGAGTCGATCTGACACATGCGCGCATGTTGGCAAACAAAACGGGTGATACAGCTTACGTGAAAGATTACGAACTAATTCCTCGGAGGAGCCCCCTCAAGGAGCAAGCACCCAAGGTGAAATCAGAGTGAAAGGCGAGTCGAGGTGGGACATTGCGATGGCAAAGCGCTGGATATCAGTCAAAGCTAAAGACAGCACGGAACGTACACGAAGGTAAATACGACACGCAGGAGTGAAGCGCAGCAGAGGTTTGGCATACCCTTGATGTCCCTGTGCAGCTTCCGTTCCGAGTGGAGGTAGTCGAGCCCCTTGATGACCTCGCGCAGGATGATTGAGATATGGATCTCCTCGAAGCTGCCGGCCTTCATCAGGTCCAGCGCCGAGCCGCCGCCCAGGTACTCCATGATGATCCACAGCTTGGTGCCCTGCGGGGACGTGCGCGGGTCAGGCGGCAGCCAGCGGGTGCCGGACGGCGACGGCGTCATGGCACGGCACGGCGCGGCGGGCGCCGGGCGGCCGAGCTGGGTCACTGGGCTGTCACCGCCACCTGCACACAGACTCAGCAGGCGGAACGCCGGCGTGGCCCCGGCGGCGCCGGTGCCGACCGCGCGCCACGGACTTCACAACAGGCAGCGCCACGAACACACACCACATAAACACGGGCCGGCCGGGCGGGGCCGCACCGTGGCCATAACGGTGCTGGGGCGGATCAAGCACCAGGCAACGCGCGGAACAACACACACAAAAACGCCCACTCGCAGGGCCGGGCTTTTCTGGAGGCCGACAACAGCCCCGGCTGCACGTCAAGGCAACGCGCGTAACCTACAACAGCAAAAACACGAAGTGAAAAACCTGTCACAGGGCACGCATGGGGTCGCGCTTGATTCATCCATTAAGCAGCGGTCGTTTCTGGATGCAACATGACCCCTAGGTGAGCCAAAGTTTCGTTCGAGAGCGTCAGAATCCATAGCGGACGTCGTACAGGGGAGGTGTTTCTATTACCAATAGGAACAGGCGCAAGCCGCGGAGCATATGGCCACGACATGTCATCCCGGTGAGAAACCCTCACACTAGCCACCGCTACTCGCATTCATCGGCCGCAGAAAGCAACTCCAAGGCTACTTTCGTCCTCCCACGATCATCCCAGCCGTACCTGCCGCACTCGCGGACCCAGACTCGTTCCGGGCGAGCACCCCGTCCGGGGCGCCGCCATCAGCAGAGGGCGCCTATTTACGTCGGCGTCTGCGAGTCAACAGCGGCGCTGGCCGGCCCGAGTCAACAGATCGCCGGCAGATTGTCCGCCGGCCCAGCGATGATCGATGACGGCTCCGGTACGTGCCGACCCGTCACTGGCAGCCGCAGCGCGCCCGCCTGGCATTGTCGCCGCCTCGCTCCACGGGCCCCATCGACCGCGTCCCACCGGGCGCGGACCGCGACGGCGCTGCAATAGGTCGACTCTCCCGACCGCGCCCGGTCGCGGTCGGACCCTCCCCGGGCGCGCTGCCGACCGGTTCGACAAGCCGCAGTAGCCGTCGTCCTCGTCGCCCCGACCGCGCACTGTGCGACCCGCGCCTCCGCCTGACCATCGCGCCAGGCGTCTCCCAGCGTGCCCGGCGGCCCCCGAGACCGGGCGTGTCGCCGCGCCGCCGTTCCCCGCGGCCGTCCGCGGCCAGCCGGCGTTCAGCGAGCCTCTGGCCGCGCACCGGCGTCGCCCGCGCCGGCCTGACCGCCCCGGCACCGCTCAGGTGCCGTCCACCGAACCCGACCGGGCGGCGCCGAACCCGAGCCGGTCGCGCAATCTGCACGGCGCCGGGGCGGGCCGTGTTTACAATGGCACGGCCGCCGCAGGTCCCCGGCCGGCCAAGGTCACGGTGACATGCGGCTCCCTGCACCGGTCGCTGACGCCGCGACGGGCGCACCGGCACGCACGCGCCCGTGCGCGGCGTGCAGTGGCCAGCACCCGTATCCGGGTCACCTGTGGCGCGCGGAATGCGAGCGCCGGCTGCCTCCACCTTCACCCGCATCCCATCCGGCCCGCCTCGCCGGTCGGCCGTGCCGAGGATGACTACCTTCCGCTGGCCAGGCGAGCGGCCACTTCCTGGGACCGCATGCCGCTGCCGAGGGGCGGGACGCCGGACGGGGCGCCGTCCTCCGGCGGTCCTCCACCATCTGTTGCCGCCCGCCGCGCCGGTACGTGGGGACGTGGCGGACGCCGCGCCGCCGCTCGACGCGCCGCCTCGCGGCCGAGCCCCGAACCACGCCTGCGTCACCGCTACGGCCGACGAGGGCCGCTCCTGCGCGGCCGCGCTGACGAATTTGGCACAGCGCACCGGAAGCGGCCGGTGGTGGCCGCGGGAGCGCCGCTGTTCGACACCCGCGGAGGCCTCAGCCACCGCCGCCGGCCGGGCCGACAGCCGTGACCCACAGACCTGACCCGGCCGCTCGGACTGGACCAGGCGGGACTGGACACGTCGGCCCGGACCGAACCGACAGCCGCGGGGGCTGCGGGCCAGGCCGGCAAATCTGCCTGGCACAGGCGGCGGGGGCGACACGCGCAGACCTCGCGTACGTGCCGCGGCGGCGGGCGGGCGGGGCCCGGTGATTCACGCGCGTGGCCCGGCGTCGCACGCCCCCCGCCGGGCTCGGAGGCCGCGGCGCGGCGCGCGCCGTCGGGGCCGGGCTGCCGGCGCACGCATCACCCGGCCGCCGGAGACCGACTCACGCCCGACCTCGACCGACCCGGCCAGCGCCGGCAAAACACGGCCCGGCCCAAGCCATCCGAGCCGGGCCGACACACAGCCGGACGCAAAAACTGGACCGGCGGCGGCGGCGGCGGCGCCGTATGAGACGGCCACGACCCTGCCGGACGGCATGCCGACCCGTCAGTTGACCGGTCGGCTGACGAGCTAGGAGACGGCCCGGGGTCACGGACCGCCGCCGGACACGAGCCGATCCTCGCCCGGCGGCGGCCATCGTCCGTTGGGCAACGGCTGCCAAAAACCGGCGCATTGTGAAACGGCGGCAGCGCGGCGCGGCCGCCCCCGCCGGCGGCGTGCAGCGGCGCAGGCCGGCCGCGCAACCGGGCCGCCGCGTGAGAACCGAGCGCAGAAAGTCGGCGACGTCCGCCGAACGCGACCGGTCGCGCACGGCGGCCGAGAGAGCCGCGCCGGTGGGAGCGTGCATGACGGCTCTCTTTAGCTGCTTCACAAGCCGGCGCCGGCTGGACGGTCGCAAAATACGCCGGGTGTGAACCAGTACCCGCTCATCACACCGCTCCGGGGAAATGTCACGAAACGAAACGGTTCTTCCCGCTGGTTCCCATCCGCGCCGCAAACGCCGACGAGCAGTGCTTTGCACGATATCAGATCGGCCGTTCAGATCGCGCGCGTTGCGTCCCACGTCGCTCGCCGTGGCCCTCGCCGAGCTCATGACGGATCCCAGCCTGGCCTTCGTTCGGCGGTGAGCCCGATGGTGTTTACGCCCGTTCGGGCGTGACGCGGCCTTCGTCGGGCGGGCCGTCGGCGTGTTTGCGGCCGGCTGCGCGGCGGCGGCGGCGCCGCCTGCTCTGCCGTGCCGACCCGACCCGTGTCGAACATGACACGTCCACGCAGTGACGGCAGCGGCGGCGGCGGCGGCGGCGCCCGCCGACCGCGTGAGTGCCGCGCCGGCGCGGAGAAAGTGACGGGGAACGGTCAGTGCGCGCCGGCGCCGTCACAAGCCGTCACGAGCGGCGCCGCTCGTGCGCCGCCGTCGCCGAGTGGGCCGGGAATCCAGTTCACGCCCGGCGGGCCGGCGCAGACCGCGGCCATGGAGCGAACGCCCCGCCGGTCCGCCACACCCACAGCCACAGCAACCGGCGGCGTACGCTGCGTTACAGCGGCGGCAGCGCCACCCCTGCGGCGCGTAACAATGGCAGGGCACAGCCCACAGAACACACAGTCAGCACCAGGGGCTCTGACCGAAGCCCTGTACCCGCCGTCCCGGACGGCACGTTAGCATTATCACCTTAAGCATGAGGTCATGAAGTCACGTATCACATAGATATAAAGTGCTACGCAGAGTGCTTTGGTTTATATTATCGATTTATGTCGCGGGCATATGCTACGTTTTCCGTCGACATATTGTCATGACTATCACTGTTTTTACGCACATGACACAAATGTGGCGCCTTAAGCTGAAACACACAACAGCAGCCATGGTTGGTGTCAGACATGCGTGATATGCCCCTCCCCTCCCTAACCCAAACCCCTGGCAGCCTGACTGAGTCAGAAATTCTTGACAGCCGCTTAAATAACCAGCGAGATAAAGGCGACAAGATCTTTCGTGACTGGTGTGGTAGTGCAATGATCCACTTTATCTCCCAATAAGTGGTCGACAGGGAATTGTTTTGTTTTCGCTTCTAGTGACGAAAGGACACAGGGAACAAACACATCAAAACTGGGTCATCCCGACCGATCCAAGTGCGCGATTTCAACTCGCGACAAAGCCAGTCTTTGAGAAGTGTCGCATAACGAAGAGTACAAAGAGGCGCAACGAATGAAGACGGCAGTGACCAATACTGGGCCAGACCGTTGAAATCAGGGTTTGCGGCACTTGCATGACCAGTGATTTTCCTAGGTCACTCCGAGCATTCACCCGCCGCGTCCCCATACCAGTGTCGTGGCCAGCAGTGACTGGCCACGACTGGTGCTGCGGCCTCATCAGATACAGGTCACCGGTCATGCCAACTTCGCCCGGCAATACACGGTGCTAACGACATCTCAAGCGAAGGTACAACAGTTATTAGTGAGTCAACAATGGTGGCGCTCTGCAGAACGTCTTCTAGCGATAGACGACGGTTGTGGAATAACACTACAACGGTGACCGGGGTCCGCCCACCCCGTCTGTACTGTCTGTTGTCTGTCCTGTGTTGTCTGCTGCCTCCTGACTGTCCTGTGATGTTTGATGTTTGCTGTCTGCTATCTGCCCTGTGCTGTCTGCTGTTTGTCCTGTGCCGTCTGCGGCATGTCCACCACACCCACCTTGAGGAAGGAGCCGTAGTACTTGGTGACATATGGCGAGTCGCACTGCGACAGCACCATGATCTCCTGCTGGATGTCCTCGATCTCATCCTCGGCCTCCTCCAAGTCGATGATCTTGATGGCCACCACCTGCAGCAGGGGGCGCCGCCGTCACCGGAGGCACAGGGCGCAGACGGCCCCGGGCGGACCAGGAGCAGTCTGTCGCCACCGGACATCACGGTCCAGCGCCAGCTGCCGCCGGCGCCGTCTCAGACGTCATGTCCACAAACTCACTGGCGCGTGACAAGCCGATCGACGGTCAATTGGACAATCAAAGAACACGAACATGACGGCAACAGAGATGGGGATCGAGTTCTGAAACTATTCCAATCTCTCCAACGATCTAATCCTGGAACTATTTAAACTTTTTCAGAACGCGCCCCAAACTGCTTAAAGAAACTAAATCTGAAACTAAACGCGTCCAAACCTGTGGATTGGATCGTCGCAAGAAGCCTTCACAATTAGTGGCGTTGTCTCAAATTCGGTTTCTTTACAAACAAGCCAGCTAACTTCCTGCAAAATGCCGTCATTTCTAGTGTTTTCCTACCAGCCGCCGGTTCGTCCTTGACGTTGTCAACAAAAGCTCCGACGTACGTATCTTCTAGCAATCATGTTGTGCATGCGATCAAATGGCTCGTCAGTAATCAGAGGAAACGCGCCCGCCTGCAGCCCGTCCGACCGGTGGCGACAGGGTACGACCGACCGCCGGTGACACCGCTGTCGGCGCCGACAGACGATCTCCCGCTCCGGAGATGGGCCGCGGCCGGGCGCACACGGCACCATCAGGCCGCCCGCCCACCCACCCGCCCGCCCGCCGCACAGTCCATCTGACAGACGATCTCCCGCTCCGGAGATGGGCTGCGGCCGGGCGCACACGGCACCATCAGGCCCGCCCGCCAACCCACCCACCCGCCCGCCGCACAGTCCATCCGACAGACGATCTCCCGCTCCGGAGATGGGCCGCAGCCGGGCGCACACGGCGCCATCAGGCCCGCTCGCCAACCCACCTACCCGCCCGCCCGCCGCACAGTCCATCCGCCGGTCACACAGGGATTCGCCATCTGTCAGCCCCACGCCGACCACCCCATCCCCCCCAGGTCCCCCCCCCATTCCTCCCTCGCTGACGGTCCCACACGGGACATGGGACCTGGACGACGAACCCCACGTGTGGCCCCAGCGAGTTGCGCGTGCTGACCACAACCACAGGCGTCCTGACTGCCACTGCTCACGGTCTGGCGGCCGCCCCTGGCGGTAACGCCCTGAGTTGTGAACACCACAAGCCTGCGCCCAACCCAGCTGAAAACATCAGCGTCTGCCGAGGAAAACACACCGCGGAAAAACAAACGGCGGCGCTACGAGGCCGCGTGGGTGAGCCGTTTTCCTTTTGTGCAGACGCCGGCTGTCATGGTGTGAATGAACAGTGAGGAGATTTCCTTAAAGTGCTAATCAGCCCTGACAAGGGCACTGCGGTCGGCGTGACACTGCATTAGCCGCTGCAGAATCGGTATTGATCTCCCGCCTCCCGCAGCGGAGCTGGGCAGGTGCCCTGGCGACAGTGGCACACGACTGAGAAGCAAGCACTGCCTCCCGGGACGCAGCTGCCCGGGGACAACGCTGTGCAGGTGCCCTGACGACAGTGGCACACGACTGAGAAGCAAGCACTGCCTCCCGGGGCGCAGCTGCCCGGGGACAACGCTGTGCAGGTGCCCTGACGACAGTGGCACACGACTGAGAAGCAAGCACTGCCTCCCGGGGCGCAGCTGCCCGGGGACAACGCTGTGCAGGTGCCCTGACGACAGTGGCACGGCTGAGAAGCAAACAACTGTGGCATACAACCACTGACAAAAAACGGCAAATGCTTGTCTACCCTGAGGGCATTCATGGTCTGGCGCAAAAAGTTTCATATGCGGCTGACGAAAATTAACAAAGAAAGCGCAGCGTGATGACGATAGCCAACTGGTCATAAACTGCATCGATGTAACACCTAAAACGCCCGGGGAAGCGATCGGAATGAGCTTTTTGCGTCGGGATTCATTCGCTTCGAATGGTAGCGACAAACAATGCCGAATGCCTCCGCACGCTCAATTATGGTGTGGGCCAAGGCCGGTTTTAGAAATGCGCACACCTGTTTCCGATACGGCACCGAGGACGGGTCGCCCGAAGAAGTGGACAGCTTTCTCTGGTCACCGGTCAACCATTTGTAAAACTCGAATCACTTGACCTCGGCCTGGATTCCATATTGCTTTAACCAGTCATGCGGACCACGCCTATATGTGCGCAAATGCCTTTCTTAATAGCACGTCCAAACGTAGCGTGTGTGCCCACTAAAGGCGCGTGGCAAGCGATTGTACAGCTCCAGCCCCAGACGAACCGGGCGAACCCTGCTCCCCTCGACGGGGTAACGTTCTCGGCTCCCAGACGCGGCGGCACTGCCGTCTGCGCGCCGACCCGCTCCGCCGTCGGCCGCGGACGGGCGACGCCACCCTCTCCCCGCGGCGGAGCCGGAGCGTGCAGTCGCTCTGACCGCGGCGTCCCGGCCGATCGGTGCCGGCTGACGAGCCGGGCACCGATCTCCACCCGCGCTGCCGGGCGCGACCAGGCGACGGCGGAGACAGTCGCGCCGAAGACCGCGCGGGCGGTTCGCCGCCAGTCCCCCTGATCGCCCGCAGCCAGCGTTCGCGTCGTCCGGGAGTCTGCCAGCCGACGGCATTCAGTTCGGTCGATACCGCTGCGAGACGTGACCCGCCTCTGGCTGCAGCAGTGCTGCGCAGCCACAACGGCGCCAGTGGTGTCGCGCACACCGAGTCGGCGGCGGTCAGCGGTCACTCCACAGTCTCAACCCCGGCTCACGGCCGCCACCTGTCGCTCCCTTGGACCCGGCTCCCCGACCCACAGCTGTCACCTATCACTCCCTTGGACCGAATCCCCAACCCACAGCTGCTTCCTGTCGCTCCCTTGGACCCGACTTCCTGACCCACAGCTGCCGCCTGTCGCTCCCTTGGACCCCGCTTCCAGGCCCACAGCTCCCGCCTGTCGCTCCCTTGGACCGGACTCCCTGACCCAAAGTTGCCACCTATCGCGCCCTCGGACCCGACTCCCGACCCACAGCTGCCGCCTGTCGTTCCCTTGGACCCAACACTTTGACCCACAGATGCCGTCTGCCGGTCCCTCGGACCTGATTCCCGGACCCACAGCTGTCGCCTGTCGCTCCCTTGGACCTGACTCCCCGACCCACAGCTGCTTCCTGTCGCTCCCTCGGACCCGACACTCCAGCCCACAGCTGCCGGCTGCCGCTCCCATGGACCGGACTACCTGACCCACAGCTGCCGCCTGCTGCCCCCCCCCCCCCCCCCCCTACCGTCAGGTGCCGGTCCCGCCGCCCGCCGCGTGGACGGCGCTCCGGGTCAGGCGTGGGTCGCCGTGGGTCACCGAAGGTCGGCCGGGGTCGCGCGCCGTTCCAGCCGCCGCCGCGGAGAAAGGGAAAGAGAAAAGCCGGCCGCGGCGGCCCGGCAGCGCCGGCGCCGGGCCTGGTCGGGCTCTCACCTGCTGCGTGCGGTTGTCGATCCCCTTGAACACCTCGCCGAACGAGCCCTTGCCTATGCGCTCCTGCTTGGTGAATATCAGCTCGGGGTCGATCTTCTGCAAGAGAGCGGAACGAACGGTCATATGACGGCCACGCGGGCCGCGGCGTCGCGCCCCCCGCTAGCACGCGGCGATGCAGCAACGGCTCGACGTCCGACCGACCAGCCGCGTTGGGAAAACAAACAAGTTTGTCACTTGCATGGCCCGCGCTCGGCGTTCAAACACACAGGCACACAGACGCCGCGCAGAAGCGCCTCCACCGCGCCACGACTGTCCGCTTGTCCGCACGGTCCGCCGGGCGCGGGACAGCTCCGCCAAGCTTCCGCTGCGGACGCGGAGCCGAGTCCAGTCGCGACGCCCTTTCCCACGGCGAGTCCGGTCACCCGATCACAAATCTGCGGGCAGAGTTGCGCGTTCGCCTGCGCGGTTTCCCGGGGGCGGCCCTGCGGGACGGCCGCAGCTGCCTGATAAGATCTGCAGCGGGCCGCGGGAGCGACGCAGCTGTGTCGCCGCCTGCGTGACAGCGCGCGGGCCGGCCGGCGCCGCCTCGTCCGCCGGCCCACAATGCACCAATCAGTTCTGGTGCCGCAAAGCGCCATCTGTGGCGTGATTGGACACGACCCGTCTGATGCGATCCGGCGCAGGTGATGGCCGCGCGTGCGTTCAGCGCCACCGACGTCTCCAGCGGCGCACGTCCCGAGCGGCGGCCGGCACAGCCGGCAGCGCTCCTCGGAGTCCGGGGTCGGCCGGCAGCGCTCCTCAGACAGATCCCAGTTGCGACGAGGGAGGCTCTGTGTGGAGGATCCGCCGCCCGCGCGCCCGGTCCGGCGTGAGCGCCGCCGAAAACAGCGCGAGCCGCCGCGGGAGAGCCGCTTTTTGTGGAGATCAAGAGGATCTGGCTGAGCCCGGGGCGGCACACGCTGAATTCCACATGTCGCGATCAACAGCGGCGGCTTTCGGGGACGCCTGGCTGGCCGACACGCGCTCGGTGGACGGCGAGCAGAGGCGAGGACGACACGGCGGGCCCACGCCTGGGCGTCCGGCTCGGGAGCTGCCGCGAGCGTCGGCAAGAGGCCAGAGGGCCACACCACGCTCATCGCAACGCAGCCAGGCAAGCTGAGTCATGCGCAGCCGGGCCGGGCCTCGCCGGCCGTAGCGAGTCCTCGACCGGTTCCCAGCCGACAGTCCGCATCTCCCCAGCCGACGGGCGCCTTTGTTCCGGGGAGGGTAATGTCGCTGCGGAGGTCAGCACCGCGCCGCTCGCCGCGGGCGCGGCGGGTCGCGGCGCGGGCCGGGTCGCCACAGCAGAGGGGTCGGCGCGCAGCGGCACACTCACGGCCGTCCAGACCCGCCCGCCCCCGCGGGCACGACGCCGACGCATGGCGACCTCCGTTTGACACGGAGAGCGCGAGCTGGCGCCGGAACGGCCGACCGCACTCTCCCACGGACCGTGCCCACAGCATGCTCAGCGCCCAGTGTTCACGCAGCACTCCGTCCATAGCGTGACCCGCACTGCTACATGCGAGAACATGGCGTACACCGGCGGAAAAGCGACGTGCAATGCAAGGGTGGCTGCAGTAACCGAGCCCACATCTCGACATTTGAAACGCCGGCGTGCGGAACTCCGCCCATACAAACCCCGACTCGGCTCACTCCGACATGGCACACATCCCAAATACAGACCCTGCAAAACCGCATTCCCAGTGGATGACCATGTTCGACTGCTCGCGTGGAGGCCCCAGACGCCAGATCGCGATGGATTTCAATGGCATTACACAAGCCGAACAGAGCCGCGGGCCTGACTGAGGTCCCGGCCCCGCGCGGGCGAACACACGGCGGAGACGCCGGGCCGCGTGCCGGAGGGCGGCGCGGGTACCCAGCACCGTCTGGACGTCCTCGGAGACGGCTCGCAGGCGCCGGGAGAGAGCAGGGGGCTGGTGGGTCCACCCCGTCAGCTCAGGGCGAGAGCCAATCCATATCGGGGCGATTACGGCGGCTGGACACCGCCGCGATGCTCTATCTCGCTGTCAGCGGCCGTCTGGCGGCGGGCAGATCTCCGGCTCGCCGGAGCCCTGCAACAGCCGACAAATGTCCCATTCCCTGAAGCCCTCCAGCGCCGAACGGCCCAGCCCCAGACGGCTTTCAGACTCGGAGCGCTTCTCCGATAGCGTCGGGCAGCCCCACCGCAGCGAGCGGCTCCGCGTCTCCCCGGCTCTCTGGCTGCCGGCGGGTCTGAGCGGGCCGGTCCGATGAGGCGAGACCGACCCCTCAGCGCCGCGGCGTGGTGACGCCGCGCGCTGCGCCCCCCACCAACCGAGGTCGGAGCGGCGGCCGGCACCAGCGGCGGCGCGCCCAGCACCGGTACCAAGGGCTCGGCTCCCCGGCCGCTGGCCGAGCCCCTCGAGTCATCCGCCGGCGTGACGTCACAAGGGCCGCGCTCGGCGTCGGCCAGCACAGGTGGAGCCCCGGATGGGAGCGGCGCCGCTGCAGGCGACACGGCGTGGACCGGCGAGCGCAGTCGTCTCTCGTGCCTCTCATACATCCTTCGCATATTTAACGGGGCTGGTCGCAGCCCGGGGTTCCCACGCCTCACTGGTCTAGCACAGCCTGTCCGGCACGGCACAGGGCGCCGGCAGGCCCTCCGTCGACGTCAGGAGCGCGCACCTTCTGACGCGGCATGGCCGGCAGCCGGTCGGGGCGGGCGGCGCCGTGCTGCCTTGGTCCGCGACTTCGGACTGCAGCCGCAAGGACGACCGGACGGCATTCTGCCGGCGCCGCACCCGCCCGCCGCCGGGGCCCAGCCCGAGAGCGGGGGTTCGGCCGCCGCGCGGTGGGCGCCAACGCGCCTCTCGCACCTCCCCGCCGTTACCGGGCGAGGACGAGCGTCGCCCGCGACCCTGCCGACGGCGGCGGTCGGCACGGGCGCCGGGTCACGCCGCCGAACTCCGCAGGACGCGCCAAGCCCGCCGCGACGGCCTGGCGCCGGCTTTCCTTGGCCGAAAGTTTTCCTCCAGCGGACCGAGACGCACCGTGTGGCGCTTTTGGCTGAGCTCCGCGCGCTAGAAATGCTTTGGCTCGGCCGTCGTGCAGGACACGGATCCGTTTCTGGTCCGTGACGGAGTGCATGTAGCCATCGGATTGGCGTTGCCGGTAACATGGCCGGTAATATGGAGCAGTGTGTTGCACGGCACGACCATTAGCAGCCCGCCACAAGCCCGGCACAGAGGCGCATAAAGGCTCGCTTAGAAAACTTCATTGCATTTTTCGACATACAAACTAGCGTTCCGTTCGCTGCCTTAAATAATTGTCACGACAGCGCATTTCGACGGCTGAAAATGCATGTCACGGCGCCGGCGCGGGCTGGTGGGCGGGCCGGCGGCGGCGGCGGCGGCCGCCGTTCCCAGCACGCCGCTCGTGAACGTTCTCCGTGACGCCTGGACCGCGCTGGCAGTGTCTGCACGGTACTCGGCACGCGCCGCAAACCGGCGTTCAACCCCCAGATCCGGCTCTGGGTACGGCCGCACTGATCGCAGGTGGCGCTAACCGCTCCCGGCCATCAGGTGAGGAGAAATAACGATGACAGGTGGTCCGCGCACGGGGCGTGACCACCAAGGCTGCTGCTTCCGCCCCGAAGGGCCGGTGCGAGGGGCGGCGGGCGCTGCGGGGAACACAGCCCTGCGGGGAGGGCAGCGGCCGGCGCGGCCACTCCCGGAAACTGACGCCGCGGCCACCGGCGCCGACTGTCCGTGATGCAGGCCTTTTGCTACGCAGTCATACTTGAGCGGCTGGGGACTTGGCTCCTCGGCGTTCACTGCGGCGCCCAGTGCCGGGCTGAGTCATCAGCAGCGCCCCAGCAGCGGCCAACATTCACCTGGAGCCGTGTGACGCAGTTCGCTCGCGTCTGCCCTCTCCCGGCACCACACTCCATTCTCCGGCGGACCAGCTGCCGGCGCTCTCCCGAGCCGGTCGGCGGCGTGCGGGTCCGGCCGCGCCGTCACGGCCGAGCCGGCACCGCCCGCTCGCGGCGCCGGCCCCTGCGCTCTCTCGGTGTGACGACGCACGCCGACTGGCGGTGTCGGCGGCGACAACGGTACCGCAGACACGACCGATCGCGCAGGTCCGGCCGCGGCCCGAGCGGCCGGCCGCTCCCCGATCCGGCCGGGGCCGCGTCACGGGCCGCGTCAGCGCCGCCCCCGCAGACCGACCTTGGCCGGCGGCCGCTCGTCCGCCGGCCCACCTGTGCGCCGCGTCGCGCGGCCGCTCCCTGCCACCCAAGCCTCACCGCAGCGCCGGCCGGAGGTGTCCGCAGCTCCTAGCAGCGTCACACGTGCCGGCAGCGTGCCACGCTGGGCCTCGCTGCCGAGCGCGACACGAAAAACCGTTCGATGCCGGAGCCTGCCTTCGTGCCGAACACGCCGCCACCGTCCTGCGTCATGCCCTCCCCAAACTCGGGCGCTGCGGCAGCATGAACGCCCGCACCCTTCGGCGTCCGCATTCCGCCGCCGAGGCTCGGACTAAGACGCCTGGCGACATCAGACGTCGCACCAGCCGCCGGCCGCGCCCCGCCCGGCCCACAAACCCGGCGCCACGGCGGCGCGGCCGGCCCGCTCGGAGACACGCGGACGTGATTGGGTCCGGGCGGAGGTGACGGGAAGGCTCGGCTCGGCGGCCCGCTCGGAGACACGCGGACGTGATTGGGTCCGGGCGGAGGTGACGGGAAGACTCGGCTCGGCGGCCCGCTCGGAGACACGCGGACGTGATTGGGCCCGGGCGGAGGTGACGGGACTCGGCTCAGCGGTCCGATCGGAGACACGCGGACGTGATTGGGCCCGGGCGGAGGTGACGGGACTCGGCTCGGCTCAGCGGTCCGATCGGAGACACGCGGACGTGATTGGGCCCGGGCGGAGGTGACGGGAAGGCTCGGCTCAGCGGCCCGCTCGGAGACACGCGGACGTGATTGGGCCCGGGCGGAGGTGACGGGAAGGCTCGGCTCGGCGGCCCGCTCGGAGACACGCGGACGTAATTGGGCCCGGGCGGAGGTGACGGGACTCGGCTCA